TTTCCACAGTCATGAATTGGGAAGAGGCAGAGGGCACTTCACCCATATAAGGAAAAAGCAAAACATGAAGGCAGGATTGCCACCCTAGGAGTTGGGAGACTGGGTCCTTGTTCCAGGTCTGCTCCCACGAGTTTTTTGAATGTCTTTAGGCCTCAGTTTTTACCATCTGTCAGATGGGTATGATGATGTCATTTCCTTGAAGGTGGGGCAGTGCACTAAAGTCCCTGAGTGCTAAAGAGGGTGCTGTATAGACTATGCCCTCCCTACCTCTCTGGGATGCTCTGTTCAGCTCCATACCACTCCCCTTGGAAAGCCCTTCAGTGCCGTGTATCCGAGGGGAGGGGAGCAGGGATGCTGCAGGGTACCCTCCCCAGTTCTCTTACCCTAGCTGGAAGAGGACGTTCAAGTGGGGGTTGCCCAGGGAAGTAGGAGTTGGTGATTCCTTCCTCTTTTTAGAATTCTCCCTATAGAAAGTGGCCCTGGAGAGACCTTGCCCCCTGTACTGAGCAGGAGACCTGAAATATCCATGTATCAGATGTATTCCTCCCCACCTGCTCCAGGCAGTAAGGATAGGCACCAGGAATGGTGAGCCAGTGCCTGGAGGATGCTGGGCTGAGACCAGGGAGGAGGGGGAACCTTCAGTCCCATAGGCAACTTCATTCCCATAGTTGCTAACTAACTTCCCAAGACCTCCCATTTACAGCAAAAGAGTCAAATTAGACTCACCCTTTTCTCTACAATCCCCCATGGCACTCAGCCCCCTACGTGGCCCAAAGCACAGACTGTGTCCTTGGTTTCAGCCTTTTCTCCTCCCTGAGCCTTATCTCCCAAAGGCATAGGTGGGTAAAAACCTTGTCACCTCTGAAGGCCACCCTGCCCCCAAACTGCAGTACCCAGCATGCTTTGCAAGCTGGATAAATATGTATTGCTGATGACAGTGTTTGAGGAAGGAGGTCGAGATTTGCTTCTCCAGAGGACTTCTGGGATTAGAGCTGGGGGAGAAACAGGGTGACCTCATTTGCTCATTCAACAAATATTTATTGAGCACCTACTTTGTGCACCTGCTTTGTATCTAGAGAGCTGTGTTGTCAAGAATCTTGCCATGTCCCTCTTTCCTGGCTTGCTTCCCCAGGTTTCTGAAAACAGGTGGAGGTAGAGGATTGGACTGCTGCCAGGTCCCCTGGAATCCCCCGTTAGGGCAGGCCCTCTGCCTCTGCTTGTCTGAGCGCTCCCTCCCCACTCGAAGGGGGTGAGGTCCTCACAGCTGTGGTACCCCGTTTTGCTAGCTGAAGCTTAGAGTACCCCACCATCATCTTGGGATCATCCCTTCATAATAGCTACTAGTTATCGCAATATGCTGGGCTCAGTCTTCACAGCAGCTTCACAAAGTAGGTGTGTGTGCTCTTGTAAATGATGTACCCCATAAACGGAGGCTCAGGTAGCCCGTGTGGCTCATCTCCCTCTCTTAGAGCTGAAATTCATATCCACAGTTCTTTCTGCTCAGCTCTTCTGCCAGTATAAAGTACTTTTATTTATACATATTTATATTTTATTTCTATCTCATTTGTGCCAAAAGTGAGTCCCATCCCTTCGTGACCCTATCTGGAGGAATGCTCTGGGCCTGGGGTCTTGTATGGGGGAGTGGGGCCACTGGGAATAGTCCTGCCCTCCTCGGAATTTGTGGAGGTGCAGCAGAGATCTGTGCCTTTAAGCCAGCGGGTCAGGTGGCCAACTGAGCTAGGCCGGTGACCCGGCCAGGGTGGGGTTGGCATTGCCTCTGCAGGAGGGAGAAACTGTAACCCTGGGCAACAGGAAGGGAAGAGACCGCCTCATACTCCATCCCTGAGTCATGGCTACCCCAGGTAGCCTGGGTTCAGAGGCCAAGGTGCCAGGCTGCAGGCACAGTGACACGAAGCTTGCCACATCCCCCCCAACCCAGAGCCACGGAGGGACAGGCTGTCCCAAGTGAGGGGTATCCTTGCAGGCTTCTGCCCCTACCAGCCTGTTTACCTTTCTGTAGAGTGGGTTGCAGGTAGGCAAGGGAAGATCAATAGGCAAGGGAAGATCAAGGTGACCCTGCTTTGGAGCCTTCGATCCAGGCTGAGAGGCCTCTAACGGGCAGGGCAGCAGGGGTAGGGTCTGTCTGGTTTCTGTGAACAGGGAAACCATGGACTTTGCAGGGAGCAGGAAGGAGCATGCCTCGAGGTGCACTTTCCTCCTGAGTCCTGAGGCCCAGGAATGCTTCGCTGAAATCATCTTGCCTGGGGTCTTTAAAAGAGGGGGGGCTCTTGCTCTAGGACAGAGCCCATGGGGCAGGGCAGAGGCAGACGGGGTCACTGTGGGATCCTCTGGACATATTTCCCTGACAGTGTCCTTCCCCAGACCCCATTGAGACAAGACAGGGTTTCTTTCATCTTAGGGTCCAGGCTAGGCTCACAGCGGCTGTGGAGGGACTGGCCATTTTCTGCCTCCCCTCCCCACAATTTTCCTACCCCAAAAAGGACACAGTGTAAGGAGCTGGTGGGTTTTCTTGAACCTTGGGGCCTTCCTCCAGAGGGGAGGGGAGTCGCCTGAAGCCGCTGGAGGTGCCAGGCATTAGGGGTGGAGCGGCCTCCTCTCCTGACCCTCCAGCACTCTGGGAGACAGTGGCTGCAGCTCCACTTGACACTTGTGCTTCATAGTAACTGGTTTCCATTTTTCTGCTGGGAGCCCCCTGCAGGGGGACAGGTGACCACCCTCCTCTGCCCCACCCTCGTGTGTCTGGATGAGAGTGTGGGGCCTGTGAGGGAGGTGGGAAGGAACTGATAGAAATAGGCACCATCCCCTTGAAGAGGGGCTCTGCTTCCTCCACGTGGCAGCCTGGAGGGGTCTTTGGAACCCCTGGGTGCGGTGTTGGCCCTGTGCCCCCTGCCTGCTCAGTACACCCCACCCTCCTCCTCCAAGGGGTTTGGCTCTAGGTGGAGGCCTGGTCATCTGGAGTAGGGGTCTCTCTCCCTTTGTCTCCCCAACCTCAATCAGGAGGCAGACTTGGAGGTCCCCCATCCTAGGATAGTGTGTAGCCCTTCGTGTGTGTGTGCGTGTGAGTGTGTGTGTGTGCGTGTGAGTGTGTGTGTGTGAGAGAGAGAGAGAGAGAGAGAAAGTGGGTCATGGTCTGGATTCTGGAGAATGTTTTTGCTGGCAGGCCCCTGTGGGGGTAGCAGGAGGCGGGGGCCCAGGCAGGGGCATGTGCAGCTAAGTAGGTAGAGGCCAGCAGACTGGGTAGTGACAAGGCTGGGGCACCCTGCCAATGCCTCCCAGTCACTGGGGGAGGGAGTGGGGCTGTCACTTCAGGGGCCTGTGGGGGCAGGGACCACCCTGTCTTCGTGTCCCCAGTGGGTTCTGTGTGTTGGGGTTATGCACCAGAAGGAGTCTGTAAGTTGCCACATGGGAGTTTAGGGGACCTGGGTCACTGGGGTAGGCCTAGGTTGGGGAGGGGGCCAAGCTTAGACCCACCACTTCTTTGCTTCCAGACTTCTGGCTGGCCTTCCTCCTCAAGAGTGGTTCTCCTAGCACTCTGTTTAATATTCCACCATTAGATTTTTCCTTTGGGTCTTCTTGATAGGGAACCAGTACCCTATTAGAAGGCGATTTCTCCCTGAAATTACCCTGGGGGTCTCTGGTTGAAGTAGGCCATGGTAGGGGAGGTTGAATCCCAGATTCTCAGCCTTCTTTCTGCTATCCCCTCCTCCCAGTGTCTCAGAAGCACCTCTCCGCAGTTTGGAGACCACATTTTGAAAAGCATCGCCTTGGGGGAATTCCTCGACAAATGGCCAAGAACCAGCTCTGGCTGGGCTCCTTCAAAAGTCCCTGGGGCCTGCCTTCTGGCCTCCTTCTTTCAGAGTGGGGAATGTCTCCCTTGACTGCTGGGAAATGGGGCAGGGACAGGCCAGCCAGGTCACTCAGGTGGCCTGGATTATTCTGGGGTCCTGGCAGTGGACCCCTATTTGATGGTGATCCAGGGCATCATCCTGGGCTTCTGGGGGTGAATTAGATCCTGTTGTCACGGGTTTGCCTAAGCATCAATACTTCTCAGCGGTTCCACAAAGACCCCTCCAGGCTGCCACATGGAGGCTGTTAGATCGTTTCTGTCTCTCTCTCTTTTTTTTCTTTAGGCAGTCTTGCTCTGTCGCCCAGGCTGAGTGCAGTGACACAATCTTGGCTCACTGCAACCTCCACTTCCTGGGTTTAAGTGATTCTTCTGCCTCAGCCTCCCAAGTAGCTGGGATTACAGGCACGCGCTACCATACCTGGCTTATTTATTTATTTATTTTTGAGATTAAGTCTTGCTCTGTACCCCAGGCTGGAGTGCAGTGGCGTGATCTCGGCTCACCGCAACCTCCGCCTCCTGGGTTCAAGCGATTCTCCTGCCTCAGCCTCCCGAGTAGCTGGGATTACAGGCATGCGTCACTGCACCTGGCTAATTTTTTGGTATTTTTTAGTAGATATGGAGTTTCACCATGTTGACCAGGCTGGTCTTGAACTCCCAACCTCAGGTAATCCGCCTGCCTCAGCCTCCCAAAGTGCTGGGATTATAGGCGTGAGCCACCGCTCCTGGCCTAGATCAGTTCTCTTTCTGTCATCACTCTTTTCCCTCCGTCAGCCACCCTGGATGGGCCCTGTGTGCCACATTCTCACACGCATGAATGGATTGGAGCTGTGGTTGGCACAGTGAAGCCCCTCTGCACCCCAACACACACAATCTCCAGTGTGACCCCTGACTCCCTTAGCTGAGGTTCACATCTGCGGTGCCCAGCACCTGACATCTGAGTGCTTAGAGGTGCCAAATGCTGTGCTGAGGGCTTTGAAGGTGATTTCTCCTGAGCTCTGGACAATCCCAGGAGGGCCAGGTGTTACTACATCCATTCTACACACCAGGAAGTGGGCTCCCCTGAGGTGCAGGGCCCCGCCCAAGGCCATACAATTAGTGGGGTAGAGCTTTGATGTCCACTATGGAGGTGTCTACCTTCAAGGCTTTGAAGCAGAGCCCTTCAGTGCCTCAGTGGGGGACCCGCTGCTGGGCGCTCTCCTGCCCTCCCACTGGGGTGGGGGAGGATGAAGGAAGGGTAAAAAGGATGTGGTGTGTTGACAGAGCCTGGGACACCCAGCCCACTCCTCTGGCTGCGCATCCCACAGGAAGTGGGAGGTATTGGAGCTGTAGCACCACCTGGGGCTTATGTGGGTCTAGCGGGTGTGCTGGGCTCTGGTCCAGGAGCTAGGAGCACCTGGGTTCCGGGCCTGGGTGTGTGGGGGCTGGGCCTTCCTCTTCTGAGGCCTCCGTGCGGCCAGAGGAGCTGCTCCTTCATGTTCAGCGGCTGCTCCCTAGCAACCCAGCGCAGCTTTGCATAAGCAATGAGGCCTCTCCAGCTCTGGGCAGGAGGGGTTCCCTGGGGAGGGTGGAGCTGACCTGGGGGCTGCTGCCGCCACTATAAGTGGTCTCTTCCCCCTGTCCTTCATGCCTGCCCTTCTCTTCCTCCTGGGTTCAAATGGCCCGTTGGTGGAGGATGAGGAAGGAGAGAGGAGAGGTGAGTGCCAAAGACTGTGACCTGAGATGCCCCCAGCTCACCTGGGATAATTCCATGTTCTCCCCATAGCCATGGGCCTAGGACAGTCCCAGCAGCTCCAGAGTGCCCCTTCCCAGGGCCTGAGCCCCTTTTTCAGAAGTCCTGGTATCTGATGTATGTCCTCCTTCTGTCTCCATCCCCAGTTCTGGCATAAAGCATGCTTCCATTGCGAGACCTGCAAGATGACACTGAACATGAAGAACTACAAGGGCTACGAGAAGAAGCCCTACTGCAACGCGTGAGTCCTGTTCTGGGCAGGGGACTGGGTGGGTGCTTTGGCTCCCTCCCCTAGTGAGTTCTTCCTTCCCTTCCAATAACCACAAGGTGACAGTGGCGAACACTTCCACCCCCTGCCTGAACATCACATTTCATCCTCACGACAGCTGGATGAAGCAAGCACTTTTTATCCCCATTTAAAGTGCTTTTATCCCCCATTTAAAGTGCATTTAAAGTACAGATGAGGAAACTGGGGCTTAGGGAAGGGAAGAGACTCTCAAGATGGGATGGTTAGGGAGAGACTGGCTCTAGCCCAGCCTCTGGGCAGTAAGGCGAGCACATGTCTTTCCACTGCCTCCTGCTACAAAAGAGGGGGCTTTCCGCGTGGTCTTTCAAGAATGAGTGACCTGTCTGTTGTATTTGGGTTTGGGGGCTTTGTTCTCCTGTTTACCTTCCCTTATTTCTCTCCCCAAAGTCGATGTTTTCCTTCTCTCACCCGGTACTTCCTAGGCTTTGGGGGCTCCTTCCTCCAGTGGTTCTTTCAAGAAAACTCTCTAGAAGCCTCGTGTCCGCCCTTTTGGTGTTCATTTTTTGAGAAGGGGCAGGGGGTGTATAAAGGGTGTTGCCTGGGCCAGATAGATCTCTTCCCTGCCTGGTGAGGGAGGCTGTGGAGACTGTATTTTTTTGAGTATAGTCATCTTGGACTGTGTTCCTTCTGCACTGGGATCTGTAGCAGCCGACAGTAGGGAGGGAGTATAGAGGTGGGGTCCCCCATCCCAGAGCCTGGAGGAACACCTCCCCTCCTCTCCCATCCCGTCCCATGCAGTCCCAGAAAGTACAGCAACTTTCCATCTTCAAGTTGACCTTGTGAGTAGTAAGTACAAACTCAGTATTGGGGCCTCACAGCTGCCGCCACCTGCGAGGTGGAGGTTTTGGAAGGTCAAGTCACTTATAAGTAATGATAATTTCTTTTTCTTTTAACTTGCCTTTTTTTTTTTTTTTTTTTTTTTTAATTCTTAGTCAGTAGGCTCTTTGCAGCTGAAGTTCACCTGCATTTGGGACTTGTCTAAAAAGGGGGCTTAAACCTCCAGCCTTACCCCTAACCTTACCCTAAACCTTCCCTGCTCCCTGACCCCCTCCCGTTCCCTGGCGAAGACCACTCTTTCATCTTTCTAGGCGCTTGCTCATTCAGCAGACATTTATTGCCTGCCTGCTGCTATAATGCATACTAACCTCTGCCAGGTGCTGGGAAAACAGATTCCTGATAAAAATCTCAAGCCCAAGAAGCAACATGAAGTCGTCCCTTCTGGAAGAAGGAGGGCACTGGGTGGGTTATCTGGGTAGAGGAAGGGTTGCAGTTCTGTCCTGGCCCCTCCTTCAGCTGCCCCTTCTCTTATATTAATTTCTACTGTTCCTCTTCCCCCTACCAACCCCTCCCACCCCCACAAGGGAAATGGGACATTCTTCAAATTCTTAAGGGCTCACACAAGCCCTGGTTCTCTGCCACTTCCTCCCTCCTTTGGGGAGTGGGGTGGGGTTCAGAGAAGCCAGGGCAGTTAACCCCTCGGTTGCTGGACCACCTCAGCCTTGATTCTGAGCCTCCGCCCCAGCACACTGAGCCTTGGAGCCCAGTGACTCCAGCAGCCTAGCATTCAGTGAGCATTGGGAGCTGGAGAAAAATCAGAGGCTTGTCCTTGTTTTCTTTGCATTTTTATCGGCCTCATCCAAAGTTCCAGCTTATTGTTTTTACTGTCTTCTTGGGAAGCTGCCGCAAGGTGGGGTGGAGGGCTCCTGCCGGGGCTGGGGGAGCCTGGAGAGGCAGAAGATGAAGGCTTCTTCTCTGGATGCTGCTTTCAACTTGCAGAGGCAGAGGTTCCCCTGTCTCCCTCCTGGTCTCCAGCCAAAAGAAGCAGGTTGGCCCCTCCATGTTTCCTCCAGCTTTTATAACCCTAGCCTCTGCCGTGCCTGGTTGACCTTTGGCCCAGTTGGGATGTTTCCTGGGAAGGAGACTAGTGAGAGAGACCTGGGGGATTTGCGACCCAGCTGTGTTTCACTTTAGTTGTGGTAGCACCTCGCCCAAGGCAGGCATTCTCCCTCCCCTGCGTCCGCTGGGCCAAGATGTTACCCATGGGGATTCTGGGATGAACCAGGTGTGGGGCCCGCTTGCAAGGAGTGCTCTCTGGACCTGTCTGAGCCTTGGTTTCCCTATGGTTAAAAATTCCTGCCCAGGAGGCCCGGCACAGTGGCTCAGACCTGTAATCCCAGCACTTTGGGAGGCTGAGGCGAGTGGATTGCTTAAGGTCAGGAGTTCTACTAGACCAGCCTGGCCAACGTGGTGAAACTCCATCTCCACTACAAATACAAACATTAGCCAGATGTGGTTGGCACCTATAATTCCAGCTACTCAGGAGGCTGAGGCAGGAGAATTGCTTGAACCTGGGAGGCCAGGACTGCAGTGAGCTGAGATTGCCTCTGCACTCCAGCCTGGGCGACAGAGCGAGACTCCATCTCAAAACAAACAAACAAACAAAAAAGACACACACACAAAAATTCCTGTCCAGGGATGTTGGACCCTAGACCAAAGAGAATTTATTGGGTACTTTGCTATGTGCCAGGCTCTAGGCCGAGTGTTTGCTGTCATTCCCTCCTGCTTGCTTACTTTTTTTGTTTGTACTTACTTTTTTTGTCACCTAGGCTGGAGTGCAGTGGAGTGATCATGGCTCACTGCAGCCTCGACCTCCTGGGTTTAAGTAATCCTCCTGCTTCAGCCTCTCTAGTAGCTGGTACCACAGGCGTGCGGCTTCATGCTAATTTTTAAGTTTTTTGTAGAGAGGAGGTCTTGTCATGTTGCCCAGACTGGTCTCAAACTCTTTGCCTCAGGTCATCCACCCGCCTCAGCCCCGCCTCCTCCCGTTTTCTTCCTGCCTCTGGTCTTATCCCTGAGTGACATTCAGGTTCCTGAATCCTGGGTTTACCAGGGTACAGTTTTCTCCCATTTCTGTTCTGGTCTTGCTTTGTGGACCACAGGCCTGGCTTCCTTCTCTGAAGCATCACGTGCTCCATGCTGGGCCAAACCCAGTGCAGGACCCAAAGGGGCACGTGGTTTCTTCTGGCACTTTGCCAGGGAGTTGGGCCCACCCAGCGAGTATGTGAGTTTGGTGTACAGGGAGGCCTCTATGTTCTGCCTATCTCTGGCTAGTCTCTGAGCCCTGAGGGGAGCTAGGATCTTGCAGGGGGCTGGTCAAGAGAGAAGAAAGCTATCTTTCCTTGTGGTTTCTCAAGATTCAGATTTAAGTTCTAGAAAGTGACTGTAGAGTAGGCAGTGAAAAGGCCTCTTCTGTTTCTGTCCTTGCATCAGACTTGTTTGGGGGAGAGGCCGGGGAAAAAACACAGGCCAGAGCTCACAGCCAGCCCGCCTGGTGTGGCGGACCCCCACGTGCATGCAGTTACACACATGCCTGGTGTGTAGGCAGACACCCACACCGGTGCTGGGGCCGGGGAGGAGGACTTGGGAGCTGGGCTGAATGGGCTGTGTTTTGTGTTTCCACATTCAGGGCTGCAGCCATGCAGCCAATGCTGTGGCAAGGTTGAGGGTGCACTCCCGGCTTTTGCACAATAGCCAGTGGTGGAGGAAGAACCGCTAATCGAATTATTTTTGTTTCTTTTTTTTGAGACAGAGTCTCTGTCGCCCAAGCTGGAGTGCAGTGGCACGTTCTCAGCTCACTCACTGCAACCTCTGCCTCCCTGGTTCAAGCAATTCTCCTGCCTCAGCCTCCCGAGTAGCTGGGATTACAGGCGCCCTCCACCATGCCTGGCTAATTTTTGTATTTTCAGTAGAGACGGGGTTTCTCCATGTTGGTGAGACTGGTCCGGAACTCTTGACCTCAGGTGATCCACCTGCCTCAGCCTCCCAAAGTGCTGGGATTATAGGCGTGAGCCACTGCCCGGCCCGAATTCTTCCTTGAAGCTTCTGGGTGGGTGGGGTGAGAGAGATATTTATGCCCTCCGTTACTTGTTTTGTAAACTGGATTTTCCAAAAGTGGGGCAGATCAGTCCACACGCCCTGGCTTAGCATCAACTTGCATCATTGTCTCCCTGCAGATAGTCTAGAGGACTGGAGAAAGTCCCTGCAGATAGTCTAGAGGACTGGAGAAAGTCCCTGCAGATAGTCTAGATGACTGCCTGTTCCCTTCTCTTTGGGGCCCTACTGACAGGAGGCGGGGTTGCCAGCCAGGGGAACCAGCTTGTGAGGTGTCAAGTGGGAGGTGGGCATGGGCTGAGCAAGGAAAAGTGGGGGACTTGGTTGCGCCTTTCCCCTCTTCTCTGACTGCACATATTTGGGGTCCATTCTCCAGTTTCCTTGAGCTGTGGAGTGAGGACCGGGGAGGGTGAAGAGGTCCCTGATTCTGGGGAGCCAGGGACTATGTTTCTGCCCCTTCCCCTAGGCATCAGATGGGAGTAGGGTGTGGTCTGTGCCAGACAAGGCTGGGTGCTTATGTGTCTCTGGATTCTAGCAAACTGTCTTTAATCCCAGCTGCTTTTTTTTTTTGAGACAGAGTCTTTCTCAGTCGCCCAGGCTGGAGTACAGTGGCGTGATCTCGGCTCACTGCAAGCTCTGCCTCCCGGGTTCACGCCATTCTCCTGCCTCAGCCTCCCAAGTAGCTGGGACTATAGGCGCCCACCACCACGCCTGGCTAATTTTTTGCATTTTTAGTAGAGACGGGGTTTCACCGTGTTAGCTAGGATGGTCTCGATCTCCTGACCTCGTGATCCACCCGCCTCGGCCTCCCGAAGTACTGGGATTATAGGAGTGAGCCACCGCGCCTGGCCCCAGCTGCTTTTAAAAGGTGGGCAGGGTTGGGCGCAGTGGTTTATGCCTCCCAGCACTTTGGGAGACTGAGGAGGGTGGATCGCTTGAGGCCAGGAGTTCAAGACCAGCCTCATCTCTACAAAAAATAAAATAAATTCGCCAAGTGTGGTGTGGCACATGTCTGTGGTCCCAGCTACTTGGGAGGCTGAGGC